TATTTCTTAGAGTGGCATCTAGTTTTATTCTTAGAATGTGAGTTTGTATATTTGAATAAGTAAACCTTAATTTTTACAACATTTCATGAGTTGATAGACTGGTGTTTTTCTACTCTAGGAGTCATTTGTCACCTGGAGACAATTTTGCCCCTCAGGAGATATTGGGCAGTGTCTGGAGATTTGTTTGGTTGTCAAGATTGAGGTGGATGTCGGTAGTGCTGCTGACATCTGGTAGATAGAGGTCAGGGATCCTGGTAAATAAATATCCTACCACTGCGCCGGATAATTCCCAAAGCAACGAATTATCTGACCTCAAATGTTAATACATAGTGCCAAGCTTGAAAAACTTGATTCTAGGTATATCCTTCATTATGAACTAATAAGAATTACTTTCATTTCAGAGTTTTGAAGCACCATGTTCTTCAGGGTCATCTGAAAATATTCAAGATACAGATCAAGAGGTTACTGATATACTTCTTTACTTTGAATATTTTAAATGAAATTAAGTCAAATAAATGAAATTATAGCCTTTTAATACAAAAGACTGTAAAATCCTAGATAATATGAAAATAACAGTGAATTCTCTACTTAAATATATGTTCTTGTGAAAAACTATTTGGAACAAGTATTTATACTTAGTTACCTTTTCAACCTATGAGGTTTTTGTTTGTTTGGGGTTAATATAATTAGGTTTCGTTATTTGTTTGTAAAGTCAAGTCCAAAGTCTGAGCTGTAGTTGAGCCCTTCACCCAGGAAGTGTGCCATATACCTTTACATTGTACCCAGTAGGTCGGAACTTACCCATCCCACCCCACCCCCAGCCCCATTGCCTTTGTTTCTAGTAAGCTAATCTGTTTTGAACAAAGAGCATGGAGTCTGTACCCACAAGTTTTCTCATTTTTGTTTTAATGCTATCACACTTCAGTATGTTTATGCTTAAGGTTCCCAAAATGCAGTAGGACATTAACATGTTTTGTCTTATTTTTCTAATCAGCAACAAGATGAAAATGTTTTCCGGTGAAAATGAGAGTTTTATGAATGCTTTATCTTTTCCCAGCTAGAATCTCCTAATTGACCTTCATAGAATTTTATGCTCCCTGATTGTAAATTAAGATTAGATTCATAGAACACTTTGTATTTTCCAATTTAAAGAAGACTTTTAAACTATATTAAGTGTGTTTTATTTGTAATAGTTTTATTTTTCTATGTGGTGGGTAAATGTTCCTTGATAGATGAAAGATTTCTTTTGTTTTTTTTTTTTTTGAGACAGAGCCTCAAGCTGTCGCCCTGGGTAGAGTGTTGTGGTATCACAACTCACAGCAACCTCCAACTCCTGGGCTCAAGCGAGTCTCCTGCCTCAGCCTCCCAAGTAGCTAGGACCACAGGCGCCCGCCACAGCGCCCAGCTATTTTTTGGCTGCAGCCATCATTGTTGTTTTTGGTGGGCCCAGGCTGGATTCAAACTCGCCACCTTAGGTGTATGTGGCTGGTGCCTTAGCCACTTGAGCCACAGGCGCCGAGCCTGAAAGATTTCTAAATGTAGGTTATACTTTCATTTTCTGGTATCAAAGTACATCAGTATTTCTCAGAAGTAAAAAGAGTCTTAAGATACAGATTTTGGTTTATGGTGGCTCATAAGCAATCTCAGAAATCTCAAGAAGAATGCTTATTACCAGGAAAAAAAATTTGACTCTTAAAGTACTTTGCAATGAGAATCTGAATGAGAATAAAGTTATTTTTATGTCTGTGTGCTTGACTTTGTGCAAGGAGTTTCACATAGCTTATTTTATTTAATCTTCACAAAAATCCTAAAGGGAAATAGGTATTTAGTATTACTGTTTTATGGTTGAACAAGCTGAGACCCAAAGTTGTTAGATAATTTGTTTTTGTAAGGCTACAGTAATTAGAGAACTGTTTTCAAAACTATATATATATATATGTCAGGTGGTGCCTGTGGCTCAGTGAGGAGGGCGCCAGCCCCATATACCGAGGGTGGCAGGTTCAACCCTGGCCTCAGCCAAACTGCAACCAAAAAAATAGCTGGGCATTGTGACGGGTACCTGTAGTCTTAGCTACTCAGGAGGCTGACGCAAGAGAATCAGCTGAGCCCAAGAGGTGGAGGTTGCTGTGAGCTGTGATGCCATGCCACTCTACCGAGGGTGACAAAGTGAGATTCTGTCTTTAAAAAAAAGGAGAGAGACTCCATCTGTACGAAAAGTAGAAAAAAAATGAGCTGAGTGTTGTGGTGGGCTCTTGTCCCAGTTACTTGGGAAGCTGAGGCATAAGGATGGCTTGCGCCCAAGAGTTTGAGGTTGCTGTGAGTTATGACACCAGGCACTCTACCCAGGGCTACAGAGTGAGACTCTGTCTCAAAAAAAGCAAAACACAAAAAACTATATGTATGTTTATAAATCTGTATTCTTTTACTATGTTGCCTCCATATGTTTTTGCAGTTTTTTTCTATGAATCATCTCAAGTGAATTAATGAAGAATTAATTGCTTTGTTTTCTTACTAATCTGCAAAGTAAATAACTCAAAATATTTCACTGGGGTCTTTTGCAATTTAGATGCAGATAGTAGAAGAGCTTCATGCTGCACGTGTGGGAAAATCTTTGGATTTACCTTTGGTTCCTCCTTCTGGAGAGTTAATGAGTATGGAAATTGACTTGGTGGAAGATGATGTACATTCTTCTGCTGGTATACCCTATATGTTAATATTTATCTCTGCTTTTTTTTTTATTGTTTGGGATTCGTTGAGAGTACAAAGAATGAGGTTACACTGATTGTGGTTGTTAGGTAAAGTCCCTCTTGTAATTGTGTCCTGCCCCCAAAAGGTGTGCCATACACTGTAACCCCCCAGCCTCCTCCCTTCTCCCCTCTTCCTGATTCCTCATAATAGATGTATTAGATCATCTACTACCTTCATATTAGAATTGACTACACTGGATTCTTCCTTCTCTAATCTTGTGATGCTTTACTAAAAGGAATGTGTTCCACCTCCATCCAGGTTAATAGAAAAGATATAAAGTCTCTATCTTTTTTGATCTATGCTTTCTTAAGAATTAATGTGCCAACATTCAGTTTTTATAATATTTACATGAAAACTGTTAAAATGTGCTCATTTTGAAATGATACCGTAATAGTTTTTTTTTGACGATAGGAATCAGATTTATTATTTATCTTTTTAAAATATATTTCACATTAATAGACAGACATTTTCTTTATGAAGAGGCAGTAATCAGAGTTATGAGTTGTTTTTTATTTTTGCTTTTAATTATAACTTTTAATAATTTCAACTATGTGAAACACTAATCAGAAATAATACAGATTGCTTGAAGGTATTCATAGATTTCTTATTCATATAATAACATTTTGATAATTTTTACTCTTGAGAGAAGATGATAGAGATAGCCCCAAATCTGTTAATATACTATTTTGAATTCTATTTGTAACAGTAGTAATGCTACCTTACATTCACATTGCATTTCTTACTTGCTGTTTTACTGTGCATTAACTACCAGAGATGCAAAACAGGACTGAAAAACATACTTTCTGCAAGGAAAAGTCAGCTTATGATTTAAAATTCACCTATAAACAATATTCTATTGGTGGTGTGTAATTAAACATTGATTACTTTGTCTTAGGAAGTAGAGTAAAAGTATTTTGTTTTTGTTGTCTAAAAGACTTTCTTCTTTTAAAAATGCTATCAAAAACATTCTCCTGGGGTGATTTTCCATAGTTTTGGCTTTCTTTGCCACTTGGATCTAGACGAGCCCCTATCCTACACCCACCCCTGACAGTGGTTGCAGACCACTAAGTGATTCTTTGGGGAGAAATTTACTTGGCAAAAAAGGGATGGGAAGATATTTAACAGCTTGAGAGTCTAGCTAACTATGTGATTCTCTGATATACCTAAGTTTATAAGACACATTTTAAATTAAATTGAATTGCATTTTTAATGCTTCTGTGATATCACAGTTTTAGTCCCTGAGTAAGTCTGTAATCAGGTATCATGAAGTCTTAACTTTGCTCTTTTTTCTCTAGGAAATACTCCTTTAGACAAAAAGCTTCTAATTGTTATTGACACAAATATTCTCATGAATCATCTCAAATTTGTTAGAGTTTTGAAGACAACAGAAATACCAGGTATACATCATATTTACAGATTTGTTGAGTTAATATTTTACATTAATAGTAATAGTTTTTTTCCCTCCCAAACACATCTCCATTTGGATATGTTATTATATGTATATGTTAAGTATGTATATTAAGCTTTATCAACTGAAGTTTGAAAAAGAGCCTTCACAGGTTAACTAGTAATCCACATTCTTTTGATCTTTGGCAGTATTTATTTTTTTAATATTCTTTTGACACATACCCTCCTTTTAATTTCTGCCTTTTGTGAATGTCTTAAGGTAAGGATGATGTGCTTTGAAACATTCATCAATTTTAAAAATAAAAAGTGAAAAAAAATTCATCAATTTTATATCACTGTGGTTGGGTAGCACAATAAATGTTGAGTTCTAAGAAATCTTCTTATGTTTTAGGATTCGACAAACTTGTATTAATAATTCCCTGGGTGGTTATGCAAGAGCTAGATCGTATGAAGGCAGGAAAACTGTTAAAACATGCTCAGCACAAGGCTATACCTGCAGTTCATTTTATCAATGACAGTCTCAAAAATCAAGATAGAAAGCTATGGGGTCAGTCAATTCAACTTGCGTCTCAGAAACTTTGTAAGTATTGTTTTCTCATGGTGCTTTCTGATGAAGACTTGTTTGGGGGCCGATTTATTGGTACAAAGCTTTTAAAACATTCATAGCCATTGGAATGTGGAGTGGAACAGGCATCGTGATGGTTTGTGGCTTAGTTTAAGAGTCTTTGATTTTTATTTTTCTGCTTCTCCTAGCCTTTGTCAGGTTATGCCTGTGTGTCACAGGTAGTGACTGTATATGACTGTGTAGTTCTGTATGCATAGTTGTCTATATTATAGGACCTTGGATTTCTTTAACTACCATTTTTGAGTGATGAGGCCAGTAAGTGATCTAGGTTTCTTTTTTCTTTTCTTTTTCTTTCTTTCTTTCTTTCTTTTTTTTTTTTTGGAGACAGTGTTACTGTGTTGCCCTGGGCAGAGTGCTGTGGCACCACAGCTCACAGCAACCTCAAACTCTTGGGCTTAAGCGATTCTCTTACCTCAGCCACCTGAGGAACTGGGACTACAGGCACCCATCACAACGCATGACTATTTTTGGTTGTAGTTGTCATTGTTTAGAAGGCCCAAACGGGGCTCTAACCCGCCTACCTTGGTGTATGTGCTTGGCGCCCTACTCACTGAGCTGCACAGGTGCCGAGCTATGATCTAAGTTTCTATTCTATCACTGTATACAGTGAGTATACTGCAGAGAGAGATGTTATTTTCCTGTGGTTTGTCAGAACCTATAATAAAGAGGCATTTTTACAATAAAAGTGTTTCTTCCAAACCCAGAATCTTTTATGTATGTAGATTTGTAATATGTTAGATATAATGGATTTATACTTTCCATTGTACCATACTCACCAGAAGTTTTAAAAAATTTCTTCTTAAATTGAATCTAGTCATGGTATTAACCGTGAGAAGACTTTTGGCATAGCCGTTTAATCTTAAATAGTTGAAGAAAAATGGCCTCTACCATTCATCTACTCATTAGCTTAACAAATATTTATTAGCTCTTAGTATATTCCAGATGTAATACTTATATATTTTGAGTGTAAATAATCTGTGTTGAATAGCCTTTCTTTGTTGTAATTTTAGCCTTGTCCTTAATTATTTCAAAATTGCATTTACTTGATATAGTATGTATCTATCACAGCAAGGATTATTTCAAAATTGCATTTACTTGATATAGTATGTCTCTATTACAGCAAGGATTATTTTAAAATTGCATTTACTTGATATAGTATGTATCTATAATAGCAAGGAGAGTGTAAGATTTGAAAGCTGACTGACCTGGGTTTATAACTAACCTGGGGAAAGTTAAAGGGGACAAAACTGAATAAGTGGAATGGGAGGAGATAACCTCCATGTCATGAAATGATTGTGAAGTTTGGTTGAGTTAATCTATTAAGCTACTTAATAGTTTATAGTTCAGAAAAGGAAATAATTCTCTTGTGTTATCATTATATGAAAAGCTTATACAGATTGATAAGAAAAAGCAATCTGTCATGTGTTTTTTGTGTTGTCTTTTTATTGCTTCTAAGTTTAGAAAGTTTCTTTCCCTACGCTCACAGTGTTGGACTGCTTTGGGAATATGAATTTATAACTTATTAGGAGAGCTATATTTAGCAGTGTTTATTAAAGAACATAGGGTATAATTCTTTTTTTTAGAAATTTATCCTAAAAACCAGTGGAAGATGCTCATAGTGATTTATATAACTAATATTTATCACAGTGTTATTTATACAGCAGAAAAATTAGAAATAACTTGTATAACAACTGGAGATGTTTGTTCCGTATCTTTGAATTTTATTTCAGTATATTTTTGGTCATTCGTTTATTTGTCAAATATCTGTACCAGATATGTACAAGAATTTCTAAGAATTGGGGCTATAGTACTAGATGAGAAAGATGACCCTGCTGTTGAGGATGTTAAATTCTATTAGATATTGAAAATCTTGACTTGGCGCCTATGGCTCGAGTGGCTAAGGCACCAGCCACATATACCTAAGGTGGCCGGTTCGAATCCAGCCTGGGCCCTCCAAACAGCAGTGATGGCTGCAACCAAAAAATAGCTGGGCGTTGTGGCAGGCGCCTGTGGTCCCAGCTACTTGGGAGGCTGAGGCAGGAGACTCGCTTTAGCCTAGGAGTTGGAGGTTGCTATGAGCTGGGATGCCACGGCACTCTACCCAGGGGGACAGCTTGAGGCTCTGTTTCAAAAAAAAAAGATATTGAAAATCTTAACTATATGTAGAATTAATATTTGTACTGAGTGTGAGTAAAGGCCATGGCTTTAGGGTACCATTTAAGCTGAGCCTTAAGTAATAAATACATGATAGTTATAAGCACTTACTCTTGCCCTATTCTGGGTCAAATACTGTCTTTGGTCTTACTTTTACAAATACATTATTTTCATAAAAATGGAATTTTTACTACATGTTTTAGGGCAGCGATTCTCAACCTCTGGGGTCGCGACCCCTTTTTAACAATGAAAATACATTGTGACATTAGGAAGGTTGAGAACCAGTTTTAAGGGGCTACCTTGTCAGCAATTGATTAACATATGTTAGAAATTACTTTTTGTAGAGTAAGCTAGGTGGCTCACATCTGTATCTGAGCACCTTGGGTGGACAAGGTAGGAAAACCACACCTAAGTTTGGGAGTTGGAAACCAGCCTGATTAACATAACACAACCTTGTCTTTAAAACTTTTTTAAAAAAAACAAATTATCTGGGCCTAGTAGTTCAAGGCTTTTGGTCAGAGATCTTCAAGAGGCTGAGACAGTAGGATCCCTTGAACCCAGAAATTTAAGGTTGCAGTGAATGGTAATGACACCACCGCACTCTAGCTAGGACAACAGAGTGAGACCCTGGCTCAAAAAGAAAATACTTTTTGTGTTTTTTTGCCTGAGACCCATATTTCCTTCTCCTGTCCATCTTTAAATGTACTACTTTAGGTACCAAAGTGAACACAAGAAGCTGGTTCTGTTGCTGGTAGATCAAGTGCCCATTAGTTAACACGTTTTAAGCTGAGAAAATGTTAAGCATGATGTATTTATACAATTTACTTATACTGTACTAGACTGCATTAATACTGAAATTTGTACTTTTTGGTTTTAAGTGTGACATTTAATCCAGTGATCACATTTCTTTCTTTTGAATTTACTACTAACCAGTTTTTAGTCCATAGTAGTAGTAGACTAACCAACCACTTTAAGTACACAACTATATGCTATATGAATTCTCTATCCAGAGTTTTCAAAACATTGTTATAGAGGAATGGACAGGAAACTTGCAAAGGACAGCTACTGATTCTTATCACATTAAAAGGAAACACTGAGGACGGGACAGTCTCCTAAAAAAAAGTTTTAAAGACAAGGTTGTGTTATGTTAATCAGACTGGTTTCCAACTCTAAAGCCTAAAGACATTTTGTGACTTGAGGGCAATCCCCCAAGTAACTCAGTATACCGGAATGAGATAAGATCGATTGGTCACTCACTAGTAAGCACGCTTGGTACTCCTTCATGGGGGTTGTGGGGAAGGACACTTGAGGAAAGAGCACGAGGCAATCCTTATGCATGTAGCCCTCGTATGTAATTACCTTAATTCTCCACACCTGTTGTGTATAACCTTAATAAACAGCCGCGGCAGAGGGCGAGTAGCTGGGACTACAGGTGCCCACCACAGTGCCTGTCTATTTTTGTTGTTGTTGCATTTGTCATTGTTGTTCAGCAGGCTGGGGCCAGGTTTGACACCTCCTGCGTTGGTGTATGTGGCCAGCGCTCTACATTACTACTGAGCTATGATGGGCGCCAAGCCCTTAATACAGTTTTTGTTTTAGAGCAATTTTAAATTCACAGCAAAGATAAACAAAAGGTACAAGGATTGCTCATATTTACCCTACCCCTGTATTTGCACAGCTTCCCTATTATCAACATCCCATACCAGGGTGCTGACTACATTTCTTACAGTTGATGAACCCTCACACATCATTATAGCCCAGAGTCTAAAGTTTACATTAAGGTTCGCTCTTGGTGTACATTCTTTGTGTTTGGACAAATGTATAATGATGTATATGCTACCAACATAAAGAGCAGTTTCAGTACCCTGAAATTTTAAGATATTTTTGATTTGTAACTACAGCCTAGATTATTCATGTGGCATCAAGATTTCTACTGTGCTTATTGACAGATGCTTTTGCTAAATTTGCAGATGGATTGAGTGATGAAAACAATGATGATCGAGTGTTAAAATGCTGTCTTCAGCACCAAGAATTATTCCCTTGTTCTCTTGTTATTTTGTGCACGTAAGTTTCCTGGTCATTTTACTCCTCTTTTTAAGAAATAAACTATACTGACTGGGCCTGGTGGCTCTCACCTATAATACTAGCACTCTGGGAGGCCAAGGCCTATCTCTAGTAAAAATAGAAAAAACTAGCCAGGCATGGTGGTGCACACTTGTAGTCCCAAATATTTGGTAGGCTGAGGCAAGAGGATTACTTGAGCCCAAGTGTTTGAGGTTACTGCGAGCTATGATGCTATAGCACTTTACCAAGGACAATGAAATGAGACTCTGTCTCAGAAAAAACGTAATAAGCTATACTAAGGAATTTTGTTTTTTGTGTGGGTTTTTTTTTTTTTTTTGAGACAGAGTCTCCCTCTGTTGCCCTGGTAGAATGCGATGACATCAGCCCTCACAGCAACCTCAAACTCTTGAGTTCAAGAGATCTTCCTGCCTCGGCCTTCTGAGTAGCTGGGACTGCAAGAGCCCACCACAGCGCCCAGCTATTTATTTTTTATTTTTTTGTTAAATCATAAAGAGGTAGGTCATGTATATATTAGTGTATTTATGGGGTACAATGTGCTGATTTCATATACAATTTGGAATGCTTACATTGTACTGATTAATATGTCCCTCACCTCATTTGCTTAATTATTGTGATAAGACATTTATACTCTATACTTAATAGATCTGACATGTACTCTTGCAATATGCACCATAGGTGTGATCCCACCATTTACCCTCCCTCCATCTGACTTCCCTCTTCTCCTCCTATCTCCCTCTCCCTCCTTCATCCTGGGCCATAGTTGTGATCTATTCTTCATATGAAAGTGTGAGTGATTGTAAATTGGTTTCATAATAGTACCTTGGATACTTTTTCCTCCATTCTTGAGATAACTTTACTAAGTAGGATATGTTCCAGCTCCATCCATATAAACATAAAAGAGGTAAAGTCTCCATCTTTTTTAAGGCTGCATAATATTCCATGGTATAATATACCACAATTTATTAATCCATTCATGGGTTGATGGGCACTTGGGCTTCTTCTATGACTTGGCTATTATGAATTATGCTGCAGTGAACAATCTGGTGCAAATATCTTTGTTATAAAGTGATTTTTGGCTTTTTGGATATACTCCTAGTAGAGGAGACAGGAGACTCAAGCTATCCCCCTGGGTAGAGTGCCGTGGCATTACACCTCACAGCAACCTCCAACTCCTGGGCTCAAGTGAGTCTCCTGCCTGAGCCTCCCGAGTAGCTGGGACCACAGGCACCCGCCACAACGCCCGGCTATATTTTTTGGTTGTAGCTGTCATTGTTGTTTGGCAGGCCCAGGCTGGATTCAAACCCGCCACCTTGGGTGTACATGGCTGGCGCCTTAGCTACTTGAGCCACAGGCGCTGAGCTAGGAGGGACTTTTCTTAAACTAATAGAGGCCATCTATAGCAAACCCACAGCCAATAAGGTATTGAATGGAGTAAAATTGAAAACATTTCCACTCAGATCAGGAACCAGGCAAGGTTGCCCATTGTCTCCACTGCTTTTTAACATTGTAATCGAAGTCTTAGCCATTGCAATCAGGCAAGAGAAGGCAATCAAGGGTATCCAAACAGAGTCAGAGGAGATCAAACTTTCATTCTTCACAGATGATATGATTTTATACCTGGAAAACCCCAGGGACTCAACTACAGAACTCTTAGAAGTGATCAAGGAATACAGTAGTGTCTCAGGGTACAAAATCATATTCACAAATCAGTAACTTTTATATATACCAATAACAGTCAAGCTAAAGAAACAGTCAAGGACTCTCTTCCTTTTATAGTAGTGCCAAAGAAGATGAAATACTTGGGAATTTACCTAACAAAGGACGTGAAAAATCTCTATAAAGAGAATTATGAAACTCTGAGAAAAGAAATAGCTGAAGATGATAACAAATGGAAAAACATACCATGCTCATGGCTGGGAAGAATCAGTATTGTTAAAATGTCCATACTATGCAAAGCAATATACAGATTTAGTGCAATCCCTATCAAAGCACCGCTGTCATACTTTAAAGATCTGGAAAAAATAGTACTTAATTTTATATGGAACCAGAAAAAACCTCAAATAGCCAAGACATTAATCAAAAATAAAAACAAATCAGGAGGAATCATGCTACCAGACTTCAATCTATACTATAAATCTATAGTGATCAAAACAGCATGGTACTGGCCCAGCTATTTTTAGTAGCGCCAGGTTCTCACTCTTGCTCAGGCTGAGCTTGAACTCTTGAGCTTAAGCAATCCATCCAACTTGCCCTCCAGGGTGCTAGGATACAAGTATGATCCACTGCATCTGGCCCTTTACTAAAGAATTTTTAAAAATCATTCTACTTTATCCACCATACCAAGTGTCAAAAAATCATAATTTTAAAATCTGCCAGTAAACATAGTTATATCTGATAGTCTTATAATGTGTGAGCTAGAGCTCTAAAGAATGAGATCTCAAATAGTTGAAGTTTCATTTGAATTTAATTAATATGCTATTCAGAAAACTTACAAAAAACCAGGTAAATTAACTTGTATCCCCCCAAAATAGTTCAAAAATCAAAGTATTGCAGAATGTTTTAGTCACAAGATAAGAAGATTAGGGGTATAGTTAATGTTGCATTTGTGTTCTCAGTGCTTATTATGGAGTTAGACTGCCTGGTTTGGAGTCTTGATCTACCATTCATTCAGCTTTGTGACCCTGGACAAGTTGCTTATGTTAGATTCCTAATGTATAACAAACAGGGAATAATAACAGAGGGAACCTGATGAGGTTATTGTGAGTGTTTAATAAAATAATAGATGTAAAGGACTTAAAATAGTGCCTAGTACATAATAAAATCTCAGCAAGAGTTTCTCCTTCCTTCTCCCTCTCACTTCCCTATATTTCGTCACATAGTTCTAAGTTAAAATTAATGTAATGCTAAGCAAAATTGTGTGTATCATATATGAGAAAAGACTCTGACGGCTGTGACGGAACAATTTTAATATTCAGTTTTAGTCTGAATTTTATTCACTGCAAAATGGAGTTTTTACAGTTTTGTGATCATGCCGCCATTCTCTATGTGAAATAGTTATTTATAGAAATCAATAGCCCTAAAGTGGTTCTTGTAAAGGGGCTTGGTCAGTGTTATTTTAATTAACTCCAAAGATAATGGTATTTTTGTTGTTAAAGGATATATTAGAGATTTTTATGTATAGGTTTTAAATTTTATTTTGATCTAGGACTTGTTAGAGTTTGTTGAAGATTGGAATAGAACTAATAATATTTGAAACAGTTTGAAATTTAAGGTAAAGAAATTTGAGAGGTCATTCTTTCTTATGTAATTGTTATTTTTTTAGTTCAGCTTAGAATGGAAATTAAATCAGCAAGACTTTGTTGATTCTTCATTATTTATTATTCCCCATTATTGGGGATTAACGGATGTAACTTTTTTTTAGTGAATAAAAATTTATAGCTAAACCTTTTAATTCTGGTATACATGCATAGTTCTGTTTAATATGTAAGTTGAGAATCACCAACCTTTGACTAGATCTCATGTGTTTTGAGTTGCCATATGATTTACTTTATAAAAAATGTTTTTTTCTCCTAACCCCAACTTTAGGGATGATAGAAATTTGAGAAACAAAGGCCTAATAAGTGGTGTGAAGTCACTCAGTAAAGAAGAATTGAGTGCAGAGTTATTAAACTTATCTCTGAATACAGACGCATGTCATCAGCTTTGTATTTCTAAGGAACAGTTGAAAGCAGGTAGTATTCTTTTCTCTCTTTTTTTTTTTTGGTAAAGACAGAGTCTCCCTTTATCACCCTAAGGAGAGTGCTTTGGCATCACACAGCTCACAGCAACCTCCAACTTCTGGGCTTAGGCAGTTCTCTTGCCTCAGCCTTCTGAGTAGCTGGGACTATAGGCGCCTGCCACAACGTCCAGCTATTTTTTTGTTGCAGTTTGGCCAGGGCCAGGTTTGAACCCACCACCCTTGGTATGGGGCTGGTGCCCTACCCACTGAACCACAGGCACCACCAGAAAGCAGGTAGTAGTATTCTTTCTGTAAACAATTAGAAATATGTTTTTATGCACTTACAGTATTTATAACATTGGAATTAATAATACATTTTCATCTTATACACTTAAAATAATATCAAGTTTGGAATACTTGCTGGGATGTAAATCCTAGAAACAAGTGAAAATTACAATGGTAATCCAAAAGAAAACATAATTAACATTATTGCATTCTACATGTACTTTTACAGATTTATTTGATTTTTTGTTTGTATACTTCCATATATTTTCACATATTTATAATCACCATATACATGCTGATTTGTACCTTGCAGAGTATCCCTTTTATTTTTTTGTTTTTTATTTATTTTTTTCGTAGGAAAGGTTTTTATTGGTGGGGGGAGGGAGGCTGCAGAGCAGCACTAAGGAGGAGAGAAAAGAGGGGAGAGAGATAAGGAGAGAGTGGGGAAGAGAAGAGAGAGAGTAGAAAAGAGCTAGGGGGAAGAGAAGGGAAAAGAGAGAGAGCAGAGAAGAAAGGCAGAGAGAGGTGAGAGAGCGAGAAGAGAGTATCCCTTTTAAATTAATAGTTGCTGTAAGAAATACTCATTTGAAATAGAATTTTTAGTTTTTTTAAAAAATTACTTATTTACAACCTTCTGTTAATACAGTAAAAAGTCATCTAGTAATTGAGAAACTTATAGGACTCTAATTTTTTTTATTTTAAAATTAATAATTAGGGAAGGTAAAGGCAATACTGCTACTTCCTCTCTTTTTTCCACTATAGTAACCTGGTCTATAGCTTGATATTTGGTGTACTATTATATTAAATCTGACATTATTTATAAATGCATCCTACCTTTCCTTCTATGGGTAAAGTATTTGAATTCTCTAATATATGTGCATTTTATATATTATTATATAAATATTCATACATAAACATATGCTCTGTATTTACCCTTTTTGGAAATAACGTATCTTTTGTCATGATATTCAAAATGGTATTTATAAGGATATTCTGGTTTATAGCTTTTTAGGGATGGTGTGTTTTCAGTTTGCCCACTATATTAATGTAATTTTATTTTACTTTTTCTAAATTTTTATTTTTTTAATTTTAAGATTTCATTTTCTACATGTTAATATTCTTATTAGTACACCCAAATCTGAACAAAGACTGGCCGTAGCATATTATTGTCATTTTAAATTCTTAGTTTGTGTTTATAGAGATAAACCGTTTCTTAGTTTGAATTTTGACATAAGAAATCACTTAAAATAATAAAAGCTCTTTTTTTTTCAATTATAATAAAGTGAAATTTTATATTAAGCATGTCAAGTACTTGGTAGCTGGGGGATTTCTATCATTGCAGAAAGTTCTACAGGACAGTGTTGCATTAGGTCTTCTGGGGAGGGGGAACTCAGTACTTCAAACACAAGGTCTCACGTATTTATTACCGCACCAGCTTATTAGTGAACAGCACATAAGCAAAGAGAAAACTCATTTTCCCAAGGAAGTGTGGCAGCTGTCCAACTGATGACATTTTCAGCTTGCTATGGTAAGGTGAAGAAGAGGGGAGAGAGATAAGGAGTAGCTGTACCGTAATACAGCCCAAGTACATGCTGTCTCGTGTGCAGTTCCTTATAGACCCAGCTGGGTTCTTCTCCAGTGTCTCCTCTTTGAGTTGTACCTGATTTTATTACTGGTTTTCATTCGAATCCACTGGGGAATGGGACGATTTTGTTTTTGTTTCTTGGCCAAAAACCGCTTGATTCTGAAAGTCTTATGGGAGGACATGGCGACAAACAGGACTACTCAAACTCACCACAGTGGCGTAGAGCGAGAGAAAGGGCTAAAAGCTGTTTTCAAAAGGGGAAAGCATGAATGTGCCTAAACTGAAAATTTTGGTCATTTCAAAACAAATTTATTGATGTGTGCTTACTTAAGAAAGATACTCCACTTTCGGGAAAAAAACCAATTTTGATCCATAGATCTTGGTTTCCTATTATAAATATTTCCATGGTTGACCACCTCTTAAGTTGACTAATGTTCATAGAACAGACGTGTACCATATTTATGTATCAAAACAGTAGGCCTAGTTCCTTTTGTTGACCACTTCCATACAGTCTCTTGGGTGATCAGCTTACAGAGGTTCTACTGTAAGTCTGAAGCATTCTTGTAGTTCTTTTTATTTGAAAATATTAAAATTCAAATGTAGTTAAAATTTCTTACATTTTTTCTCTTTATTTTTTTGTTTGCAACATTTCTTACATTTTTATTTGAGTAAAAACAGTTGCCTTTTTGTCATAAAGATAAAACATTTGCTAAGTTAATGTATCTATGTTGCATCTAAAACAGCTAATGTAGAGATTGATATGTGTTTCTAAGTACTGTTTTGAAAATATTGTTTTGTGAGTAATTCAGATACTAATGTTTAGATACTAACTAAACATTAATACATAAAATGTTTAATGTTAATGGCCAAACACTAGTTAAATATATATGTAATAATTACTGTTAGTGCTCTAAGTAAAGCCTGTAACTATTTGTTTTAAAGAAGCAGCACTCTTGGAAGAGAGCTATGAGAAAGAGTCTACCGGTTCTGGACTGTCTATTCTACTTGAAAGCATCGTATCTGATCTTGAAAAATCTCTTGGAACAGCTTTATCTTCAATATTAGAAACAGAAATGAAAATGGCTTTTGGGAACCTCTGGATGGAGGTGATCAGTTCAGCTCTACTGGTTGAAAATTTCTTTTTTATGCTGAAAATTTATTATCTTAAGAAATGTTATTTGTATGAAATACATGATCTTCATTATAATAATTTATATTACGTTAAAGTATTTTCTTCAAGTTTTTGAAATAACTTTTGACATTTAAATTATGGATATTTCTTAAAGGTTAGGAATGTGTTAGATAAGATAAAAATGCAATTTAACTCCAGTTGGGGGGTCGGAGGAGAGAAGGACAGAGGAGGCTTGGTGTGCTCTCACCTCGTAGGCACAATTTAAGGGTTTATGGCACACCTGGGTGATGGGCACAACTACAGCAGGGACCTTACCTAACAAATGCAGACCTTGTCACCTAATTCTACCATCATAATAATCTGAGATACAAAATAAAATTGGCATGATAAATCCATAGATGCTAATTTTTTTCTAAATATTCTTTAGATGCTGTACTTGAAACCACCATGGACTCTAATACATTTATTACAGTGCTTTAAGAAACATTGGTTAGCTGTATTTGGATTAATTATGGAAAAGAACTTACTTTTAACTGTTGAGAGCCTATATGAAAATCTCCATAGAGGTATGATTCTTTTATTTTTTAACAGTGTCGTATTAAAGTACTAAGTCACATTAGTGAATACATTTCATATAATATAAAGATTAATGAAAAATGTACCAATTTTTGGCTCGATGCCTGTGGCTCAAGTGGCTGAGGCACCAGCCACATACACCTAAGGTGGTGGGTTAGAATCCAGCCTGGGCCTGCCAAACAACAATGATGGCTGCAACCAAAAAATAGCTGGCATTGTGACGGGCACCCGTAGTCCCAGCTACTTGGGAGGCTGAGGCAGGAGACTTGCTTGAGCCCAGGAGTTGGAGGTTGCTGTGAGCA